ATCAGTGTTCAGAACTGTTCAGAGCAGCCTTGTCATTAGGAATGATAGTGAAAAACATCTAAACATGCTGTTGAACCTATGATATCAATGGGTGTAGTGCATCAATATCTTCTCATAAGACATTACTGAAGCATTATGTAGATATTATAAGAGACAAGAAAACAAAAGACACCTTAATTGCTCTTAGTCTAGTCTCGTTCTACCATTTATAATTTTAAATAAACTGTCTTCTGCAGCACAGGGAACCCTCTGAAAATCCATAGCTCTACCAAAAAATGCTCAGGTTCTGTTAATTTCCAATGTATTGCTTTTAACTGCATATTTTGCATTTCAACCCATCAGAGTCTAAGCCCTGTCTAAGCCAGTGGTAGTATAGTTCTACTTAGTAGTATAGTTCTATTAAGCTATACGGAATTGTTTTAAGAAGGTAATGCCAACCACTCACTTTCAGTTATTTGAAAAGGAAATCATCTTCCAAATATCACTATTTCTAAAACAAGCCATAGACAGTTGGTTGCAATTTCAATTTAATCCACCAGAAACGACAGAACAAATAATGCAACAAATATTGTGGTTAAACTCAAATATACTAATTGATTTTAAAAACTTTTTTTTTTTTGACAAAATGTTTAAAAAAGGTATAATCTTCGTAAATGATTTCATCGGTAGGACTGGTGGAGTTATGTCGTGCATGCAGCTAACAAAAACATATGGAAATGTCTGCTCTACCCAAAATTACAACCAAATAATTGCAGCATTACCGCAAAAATGAAAGAGGGAAATGGAAGGGGGAAAAGGTAAGGAACTTGTCTGTCGGCCTTGCTTTAAAGAACATAATTGGTTAAAGAAAACTGTGATAAATATAAAGAATACCAGTTTCATTTAAGGACCAAAAGATTGACAGCTGTCCCAAATAGATTGAAACATAGTTGGGAAGAGATTTTTGACGTACCAATTCCATGGCATAGTGTTTATGAACTGGTACGCAAAACAACGCCGGATTCAAAACTTAGAATTTTTCCATTTAAATTATTATATAACATTTTTGCAACCAATAGAATGTTATTGATATGGGGGATACAATCTTCCCAGCTCTGCAGATTTTGCTGCGAAGAGACAGAATCATTAGATCATTTGTTTTGTTACTCTCCATTTGTTGCTTGTTTTTGGAGACAGGTCTAGGAATGGCTAAAGGACTGCAACATTTACCTGGAGCTAACCCTGCAGATACTACTACTGGGTGATCTGAAAAGTCATAGTCAATCGATCAATAATATAATAATACTTTTAGCAAAAAATTTATATTTTCAATTTACAATCTGTAGAAACAATGAGAAAAGAAAGGTTCAGAACTTTTGTAAAACATAATAGTACAGTTGAAAAATATATGGCAAGTAGAAATCCAATATGCATGGTGTTAAGAGATAGATGGGAGGTGTTGAATGGAGTTGAAGGATGGGACTAATAAAAACTAACAACAACCAATAACAACAAGATAACTAATAATGTAAGCATACTGTGTCCATAATAAGCATAATAAGTATATAGGTTATAGGTTGAGAGCTTTTGTGAAAGAGCACAGCTAGAAAGATATGGTATGGTATATAGAAGCAAACCGGATGGACATCATGAAAATGATCGGAGAGGTTGAGGGTAGAGGAAGTTCAGGGGTAAAAACAAACAAAATAGAATTATATTTAAATTGACTGTGTCCATAAAATGTATATAGCTGGAAGTAGAGGCCTAAGAGTTGTTGTTCACTAGTTTACTCCAATTAGGGAAGGGGTGGTGGGGTTGGAAGGTAAAAAAGGGAAAGATATTTAAAAAAAGGATGTGTATGTGTATGTAGGTATGTACGTGTATGTATATGTACAGTGAGGGAAAAAAGTATTTGATCCCCTGCTGATTTTGTACGTTTGCCCACTGACAAAGACATGATCAGTCTATAATTTTAATGGTAGGTTTATTTGAACAGTGAGAGACAGAATAACAACAAAAAAATCCAGAAAAAAATCCAGAAAAACACATGTCAAAAATGTTATAAATTGATTTGCATTTTAATGAGGGAAATAAGTATTTGACCCCTCTGCAAAACATTACTTAGTTTTTGGTGGCAAAACCCTTGTTGGCAATCACAGAGGTCAGACGTTTCTTGTAGTTGGCCACCAGGTTTGCACACATCTCAGGAGGGATTTTGTCCCACTCCTCTTTGCAGATCCTCTCCAAGTCATTAAGGTTTCGAGCCTGACATTTGGCAACTCGAACCTTCAGCTCCCTCCACATATTTTCTTTGGGATTAAGGTCTGGAGACTGGCTAGGCCACTCCAGGACCTTAATGTTCTTCTTCTTGAGCCACTCATTTGTTGCCTTGGCCATGATTTTTGTCATGCCGGAATACCAATCCACGACCCATTTTCAATGCCCTGGCTGAGGGAAGGAGGTTCTCACCCAAGATTTGACGGTACATGGTCCGTCCATCGTCCCTTGGATGTGGTGAAGTTGTCCTGTCACCTTAGCAGAAAAACACCCCCAAAGCATAATGTTTCCACCTCCATGTTTGACGGTGGGGATGGTGTTCTTGGGGTCATAGGCAGCATTCCTCCTCCTCCAAACACGGCGAGTTGAGTTGATGCCAAAGAGCTTGATTTTGGTCTCATCTGACCACAACACTTTCACCCAGTTCTCCTCTGAATCATTCAGATGTTCATTGGCAAACTTCAGACAGCCCTGTATATGTGCTTTCTTGAGCAGGGGAACCTTGCGGGCACTGCAGGATTTCAGTCCTTCACGGCGTAGTATGTTACCAATTGTTTTCTTGGTGACTATGGTCCCAGCTGCCTTGAGATCATTGACAAGATCCTCCCATGTAGTTCTGGGCTGATTCCTCACCGTTCTCATGATCATTGCAACTCCACAAGGTGAGATCTTGCATGGAGCTCCAGGCCGAGGGAGATTGACAGTTATTTTGTGTTTCTTTCATTTGCGAATAATCGCACCAACTGTTGTCACCTTCTCACCAAGCTGCTTGGCGATGGTCTTGTAGCCCATTCCAGCGTTGTGTAGGTCTACAATCTTGTCCCTGACATCCTTGGAGAGCTCTTTGGTCTTGGCCATGGTGGAGAGTTTGGAATCTGATTGATTGATTGCTTCTGTGGACAGGTGTCTTTTATACAGGTAACAAGCTGAAATGCAAATCAATTTATAACATTTTTGACATGATGTTTTTCTGGATTTTTTGTTGTTATTCTTTTCTCTCACTGTTCAAATAAACCTACCATTAAAATTATAGACTGATCATGTCTTTGTCAGTGGGCAAACGTACAAAATCAGCAGGGGATCAAATACTTTTTCCCCTTACTGTAGGAAAGGGTCTGAATACTTATTTCTGTTTCTGTTTTTTATTTTTAATACATTTGGTACCATTTCAAAAAAATTTAATAAAATAATAATTTTAAAAAGGTCATGCCAAAGATCATTTAGCTTTTTGATTTAGAATTGTATGACCCCTTGTAGTATATAATTTGTTTAAATAAAAAATGGATTTGCTGAAAAAATATTTTGGGCCTTACTGCTATTTGCCCACACAAACGCATTGAATAACAGATCCACTACATGGAACAACAGGTAGTCCCAAAAATTATATCGAAAGGAAGTTTTTTCTGAAGCATCTCTCCTATATCTGAGAGTTATAATCAAGATCAGGAAACATGTATCTAACACCATATTTTTGGCATGAAACTGTCTCCATATACAGTACCAGTCAAAAGCTTGGGCACACCTACTCATTCAAGGGTTTTTCTCTATTTTTACTATTTTCTACATTGTAGAATAATAGTGAAGACATCAAAACTATGAAATAACACATATGGAATCATGTAATAACCAAAAAAGTGTTAAACAAATCAAAATATATTTTATATTTGAGATTCTACAAATAGCCACCCTTTGCCTTGATGACAGCTTTGCACACTCTTGGCATTCTCTCAACCAGTTTCATGAGGTAGTCACCTGGAATGCATTTCAATTAATAGGTGTGCCTTCTTAAAAGTTGATTTTGATTAAAAAAAATTCAACTGGTACCGGGGACCTTCAGATAAGTCTTGTGAGGCCTGTGGGCATCCTAGAGCAAAACAACAGGGACGTACACTGTGCTGCCATCTTGTTAGAAGGTAACAGATTTATTTTATTATAGTGATTAAGAGTGACTTTCATTGTGTTCCATGCTGTTTAGCGCCCCCTAGTGGAGCTTTCTGGTACTTAGAATTATGTACGAAAACCCGGAAGTAAAGTTGTTATTATGCACGCGACAAGCAGCTAGAAACAACGTTACTGTACAGTTCTTTCAGTGCAACTATTTCTTGTTACGCTTCAGCCTCTGAAAATATTTGTTTGTAAGTTCAATTCAAGCATATTGCAAGTGATGATAATATTGTTATTGACAGAATTGCTTACTTATCAAAGTTAATTGGTTACATTTACTCACGCAAATTGCATTGACTTTCATGGATGCCGTTAGCTGTTTTAGTTTGCTCGTGCGTCATGTAAAAGAAGTGTAAAACATACTATAGTTTGTTACTGTTTCTAGTGTAATATGCTTTATTATTGTACAGAGGTGTTTGTACATTATTAGAGTAATGAAAGGAGTTGGCTAGTTGTTACTCATAGAGTAATTATCTATTTAGTTGTCGTCATGCCAGATATATGGTAACTTGGCACTTGCTTTGTATTTATGCAACTTTCAACTTGAAATGTATAATGTACAGCTACAGTATGTCAATGTGAATTGAATACTAAAGTATATTATTTTCTGTATTTGCAGTTTCACAACATAAACGTTTTCAATACATTCGTTCAAGAAAAGTCACGCCTTGGAAGTTTTATTGAAGACTCAGTTGTTAGCTATCTGTCTAGTTTTGCACGGGAACGCAATTCCAGGGCAGAATAGTGAAAAAACATCATCACGGCGGGCTCAAGCACAAGAATAATCGCACGTGGTGGTTATGATTCTACGTTCATTGGCCAACAAAGCCTCTGATCCTAGGGATGACCAGCAATCTACGATGCAGCAACCAGAGGCAAGTGTTCGACAGAAAGAGGAAGAGGAGCGAGTAAGAGAGATGGAGGAGCCTCTTCAGCACATTGAGACCAAGTCTCAGTCTACAAGATCAAGGTCATCAAAACAGTCAAGCAGATCCTCAACGGCGAGTTATGCAGCCATCAAAGCACGTGCCAAGGCGGACGCAGCGCGTGCTAGAGTCTCCTATGCTGAAAAGGAAGCTTCTGTGATGAAACAAAAGGCGGAACTGGATGCGAGTTTATATGTTCTCCAAGTTGAGAGAACAGCTGCTGCTGCGTTGGCTGAAGCTGTAGCCTTTGAAGAAGCTGTAGAGTCTGAACGCAGAGAGCTCCACAGAGAACTCAACACAGGGACACAGCCCTTAAGTCCAGTCCAACGTACTCGTGAGTATGTGCAACAACATGCTAGGCCCTACTTTGCTGAAATGCCATTTGAAGTAGAGACACAAGAGCTTAGTGTTGACCCAGATACAGGCCACAATCCAGAAAGTAGCAAACAACGGAGCATGAGCAGAGACTCTCCGTACAAAAGAAATGAAAAGCAGCATGGTGGAAAGGGAAAACAGACCCACTTCCAGTCACCGACACAAAGCTTCCCTGAGTCACAAGTGGCACCAGAACTCACCAAGTACCTCCTGCGCCGTGAGATGGTGAGTTCCGGACTCCTGAAGTTTGATGATCGTCCTGAAAATTATTGGGCATGGAAAGCATCTTTTCTCAATGCGACCAGAGACTTGAATCTATCAGCCAGGGAAGAGTTAGATCTAATTACCAAGTGGCTAGGGGCAGAGTCGTCTGAGCAAGCAAAGAGAATTAGATCTGTCTATATTCTCAATGCAACAGCAGGGCTTAACATGGTCTGGCAACGACTAGAAGAGTGCTATGGTACACCTGAAGTGATCGAGAATGCACTGTTGAAGAAAATTGATGAATTTCCAAAACTGTCTAACAAAGACAATCACAAACTAAGAGAACTGGGTGACATTCTTCTCGAACTGGAGTGTGCTAAAGAAGAAGGGTACCTTCCAGGCCTCGCTTATCTGGACACATCTCGTGGGGTAAACCCTATAGTAGAGAAACTTCCATTCAGCTTACAAGAGAAATGGATAGCACAGGGATCCAAATACAAGGAGGACTATCGGGTAGCATTCCCACCATTCTCGTTTTTCTCGAGATTCATCAGGAACCAGGCGAAAATTAGAAATGACCCCAGCTTCACCCTCTACACCTCAACTACCCAGGTGTCTGTGAAAAATGAGAAACCTGTCAGATACAACAGCAAGACACCTGTGACTGTACACAAAACAGATGTGTCATCTGAGCCCTCAGACCACCAAACCAAACCCAGTAAGACAAAGGTTGAAAGCCCTGACCATCACTGTCCAATACATAACAAGCCTCATCCTCTTAAAAAGTGTCGCGGATTTAGATACAAAACTCTAGATGAGCGCAAAGCATATCTCAAAGAGAATGGCATTTGTTTCCGATGTTGTGGGTCAACTCAGCACAGAGCTAAAGACTGTAAGGTGTCAATCAAGTGCTCCGAGTGTGACAGCGACAGACATCTTGCTGCTCTGCATCCAGGTCCAGCTCCTTCAACGATAGACACCGCTACAGCAGAGAAAGAGCATGGCGGGGAGCAAGGTGAAGATGCTCTTCTATCAGTCACCTCAAAGTGTACCGAGATCTGTGGTGAGGCAGCCAATCCAAGATCATGTTCAAAAATATGCCTAGTCAAAGCTTATCCAGCTGGGAAAAGAGAGAAAGCTGTCAAAATGTATGCAGTGCTTGATGAACAGAGCAACAAATCTCTGGCCAAGACAGAGTTTTTCAATCTCTTCAACATCAATGACAACTCTGCTCCATACACCATGAAGACCTGTTCTGGGGTAACAGAGACTTCAGGCAGGAGAGCCGTCAACTTCATGGTGGAGTCTATAGACGGACACAAGCAGCTCACTCTCCCTACTCTGATAGAGTGTGACATGATGCCAGACGATAGAATGGAGATTCCCTCCCCAGACATTGCGCATCATCATCCCCATCTGCAACCAGTGGCGGACAAAATTCCAGCTGTGGACCCAGACGCTCCCATCCTCCTGCTCTTAGGACGAGACATCTTAAGGGTACACAAGGTACGAGAACAAATCAATGGGCCCCACGACACTCCTTATGCACAGCGACTCGACCTCGGGTGGGTCATCGTGGGGGAAGTTTGTCTGGGAACGGCTCACCGACCAGCCAGTGTTAACGTGTTCAGGACAAACATACTTCAAAATGGTCGCACGTCCTATCTGAGCCCTTGCCCTGACATCATCCAGGTGAAAGAGAACTACAGCAGCGTAGATCAGCAACACATTTCTCTCTCTACAGGGCACTCGAGAGATCCAAGCACAACTGTAAACACTGACAGCAATCCAGCAGACCATGCAACCAGGCCTATACGAGCCGCACTCTTAAAGCACACCAGTTGGTTCTCAGGTCCCCCTTTTCTGGCTCAAGCAAACTCAAGTGAGTCTGAGACCATCAATTTTGACCTTGTAGAGCCTGACGCAGACGCAGAGATTCGGCCAGACGTCACTGCCTTCGTCACTAAGGTTTCTGGAGCTCAATTTGGCTCTCATCGCTTTGAGAGGTTCTCGAACTGGAAAGCTCTCAATCGAGCCACAGCACGACTCATTCATGTTGCCAGATCCTTTCACAAAAGTGCGGACGACAACAACTGCAGAGGCTGGCATCAGTGTAAAAAACCATGCAGTACAAGTGAGTTGTCACAAGCCAAAACAGCAATCATTCACTGTGTGCAACATGAAGTCTTCAAAGAGGAATTCAAATGCCTTGAGAAAGGAAAAGAGTTACCAAAACAAAGTACACTCAAAAAGCTGAACCCAGTGATTGATGAGGATGGGTTGCTGAGGGTGGGAGGCCGATTATCCTCTGCCGACCTGTCACAAGACGAAAAACATCCTCTCATCATCCCACGGACGCATCATGTCGCCACTCTGCTGGTAAGACATTATCACGAGCAAGTGGCTCACCAGGGCCGTCATTTTTCAGATGGAGCTATTCGAGCAGCAGGCTTCTGGATTATTGGGAGCAAACATCTGGTCTCTGGTATCATCCACAAGTGTGTCACCTGCCGTAAGGTTAGAGGAAAGTCAGTTGACCAAAAGATGGCGGACTTACCTGCAGACAGACTCACATCAGAGCCACCATTCACCAGTGTTGGACTTGATGTGTTTGGACCATGGAATGTCATAACTCGTCGCACTAGAGGTGGTAGTGCAGACTCCAAGCGCTGGGCGGTACTCTTTACATGTATGTCTACTAGAGCAGTCCATATTGAGCTCATCGAATCCATGTCCACATCCAGCTTCATCAACGCGCTGAGGCGTTTTTTCTCTATCCGTGGTCCAGCAAAAGTGCTATGCTCTGATCGAGGTACAAACTTTATAGGTGCCTGCAGGGAACTGGGAATCGACACAAATGACTCAGAGTTGACTAAATACCTCTCAGACAAGGGATGTACTTGGATATTTAATCCCCCACACTCGTCTCATATGGGTGGTTCTTGGGAGAGACTCATTGGGGTTGCCAGACGTATCCTTGATGCTATGCTGTTTCAGACGGGCTCCACTCGTCTCACACATGAGGTCTTGAGCACTCTTATGTCTGAAGTTATGGCAATAATCAATGCGAGACCCCTAGTGTCAGTGTCAACCGATCCTGACATGCCTGCCATTCTTACACCCTCAATGTTACTGACACAAAAGACCAACGCTACCTCAGCCCCTTCTGGATATTTCCACATGAACGATCTTCATGGAAAACAGTGGAAGCAAGTCCAGTGTCTCGCTGACACTTTTTGGAAAAGGTGGAGACAGGAGTACCTGACAACACTGCAGAGACGCAGAAAATGGACAGCAGAAAAGCCAAATGTGAAAGTGGGAGATGTTGTCTTATTGAAAGACAGTCAGACGCACAGAAATGACTGGCCAGTCGGACTTGTGGTCAAAACCTTTCCCAGTACTGACGGAAAGGTCAGGAAAGTAGAACTAAAGGTTGTCAAGCAAGGGATTACTAAGGTGTTTCTGAGACCAATCTCAGAGATTGTTGTTCTTCTTTCTGAAGCATCCTAGAGGAGAAATATTTTATTTCATAGTGGCACAATCTCATTATACCAGGCGGGGAGTGTGCTGCCATCTTGTTAGAAGGTAACAGATTTATTTTATTATAGTGATTAAGAGTGACTTTCATTGTGTTCCATGCTATTTAGCGCCCCCTAGTGGAGCTTTCTGGTACTTAGAATTATGTACGAAAACCCGGAAGTAAAGTTGTTATTATGCACGCGACAAGCAGCTAGAAACAACGTTACTGTACAGTTCTTTCAGTGCAACTATTTCTTGTTACGCTTCAGCCTCGGAAAATATTTGTTTGTAAGTTCAATTCAAGCATATTGCAAGTGATGATAATATTGTTATTGACAGAATTGCTTACTTATCAAAGTTAATTGGTTACATTTACTCACGCAAATTGCATTGACTTTCATGGATGCCGTTAGCTGTATTAGTTTGCTCGTGCGTCATGTAAAAGAAGTGTAAAACATACTATAGTTTGTTACTGTTTCTAGTGTAATATGCTTTATTATTGTACAGAGGTGTTTGTACATTATTAGAGTAATGAAAGGAGTTGGCTAGTTGTTACTCATAGAGTAATTATCTATTTAGTTGTCGTCATGCCAGATATATGGTAACTTGGCACTTGCTTTGTATTTATGCAACTTTCAACTTGAAATGTATAATGTACAGCTACAGTATGTCAATGTGAATTGAATACTAAAGTATATTATTTTCTGTATTTGCAGTTTCACAACATAAACGTTTTCAATACATTCGTTCAAGAAAAGTCACGCCTTGGAAGTTTTATTGAAGACTCAGTTGTTAGCTATCTGTCTAGTTTTGCACGGGAACGCAATTCCAGGGCAGAATATACACGTTCGTGAGAGCAGCCCAAACGGTTCGTATGCTACAGACAGAATTTGGCAGATCGACTGTACCAACTTTAGACGAGTATCCTGACACTTGTGGATGTCATAGGTGAGAGTCTCATCTTTTCATAGAGGGGTCAAAATAGTTTGTACGCCAAACTGTTCGGATGCTACAGACGATTTTGTGAGAAGACAGATTTTCGGGATGTCTCATGGTCTGACAAACACCGCTCTATCTTTCACCGCAGATGCGGAAGTGCGACATAGGCGGATGTGGTTGATTGAGACGTATGCAATGCAAAAAAAATAACCCAGATATCTCTACCTTAAACTGACAGATTTTTTTGAATCACAATCTCAGTCTATGAACCCTGCACACATGGATCAGAGAGAGTTTTCCATCCAGGCATGTCAGGTTGATTCTTTATGATAGAGGGTTTACATCAAATATAAATGTTGGGAAATGCATGTCATTAGTTAATTGCAATCTACTGAACTGTAATTATGAATGAACTTTGACAATGCTTTTGTTAATTAATCATTTAATTTAACTGTTTAAATGCATCTCTTACTTCATACATTTTCATTGAATTGAATATGGTCTGTGTTGTAGAAAAACCTTGTATCTCACTTTTTTGGTTCAGAACTTTTATGTTCTGTCCTATCTAAACTCCTCTTCTCTAAACCTCTCCCACCCTGAAGACCTAAACCTACACTGGGAATCCTGTAAGGACCTAACCTCAGTATTCCTTGCCTGTGAACTCACAGCTTTGGCTCTGGCTTTCCCCATCCACGGCTACACTCTCTGGCTCATCACTGGCTCCGCATCATCACCTACACTCCTCCTCTTCAGCCGTCCCGTGTTCCAGTGCAGCATCTGTGTGGAGCCCTACCTGGCGGTGGTCCACCCTGTGGTCTACATGAAGTACAAACCCTTAAGGTACAGGGTGGGGTGGGCGGCCGGGGCCTGGGGGGTCACGCTGATGTTCACAGGGACGGCTGTTTCCCTCTACGCACCTCAGTTCCCCATCCACTGCTTCCTCACCTACATCCTGCTCTTACTATTGGTCGATCTATTCCGAAGTGTTGTGCCTGCTTGATGCCCTCAACATGTTACTCCTGGTGGTCTGTGGGCTGGTCCAGCCCCTCCTGTACCTCCTCAGGGCTGGGAAACTACCCTGCTGCATCAGGGACCAATGAGGGAGAGGTGGCACAACCATAAAAATAGAATTGGGTACACTCAATATGGCCGTCGGTTCACCCATCACAGAACATCGACTTGATTGGGAATGTCCGTTGTAGTTATTCTATTTCTATGGGTACAACCATTGTACTGTCCTTATGTTCGAGTGTACAAATCACCAGGAACAGCTTCCTTATATTGCACCCTCTTTATTTGCCCCCAGAATGGCCTCAATTCGTTGGGGCTGTTTAGGAAAATCTTTTGTCTTGCCCATTCACCCTCTGAATGGAACAAATACACAATCCATGTATCAATTGTCTCACGGCTTAAACATCTTTATTTATTCTGTCTCCTCCCCTTTATCTACACTGATTGAAGTGGATTTATCAAGTGACATCAATAAGGGATCATAGTTTTCAGCTGGATTCACCTGGTCAGTCAATGTCATGGAAAGTGCAGGTGTTCCTAATGTTTTGTACACTCAGTGTATATATTAAAGGTTTTGTTTGTGATATTGTCAATTCCTTAAGTTTGAAGGAAGTTGAAGGTAGTTTTCTGGAGTGATTGCTAACTAGCATTAGTGCAATGACTGGAAGTCTATGGGATCAGCTAGCATTTGAGCAATCATGTAGCAAAAATCATTGACTTCCAGTAGAAAAAAGGGCTTAATTGCCCAAATCGTGAACTATCCCTTTAAAGGCTTGCACATAGAGCACTGAATATGGATCTAGCACCATTTGTAGATCTAGCGTTCATCCACCGATCTTTCAGCTTGCTGTGTTTTAGGGACCACCCGCAGTAGACTGCATACATTTTTCACGCAATTGTATTTAGGTTAAAAGTTGGGTGAAACAAAGAGACAAAACGTTGATGACTTTTTGCAAATCCAATTAGTTTTCAACATTGATTCAGTGTCATCACATTGATTATTTGGGGTTGAAATGACATGGAAACAACGTTGATTAAACTCGTTTTTACCAAGTGGGCATGTACTGGTTGAATGCCTACTTGCCAAGGCTACTATTTAAACAGTGTGTGGAATGAAGAGATAACTAAACTATAGGTAGTGAGTATATGACTGGCAGATTTTGTGTGGTTCCGAAAAGCGGTTACACTAACCCTGCTTTGCCGAACCTTGACCTTTATGTTAACATTAACCCAAAGCTAACACTAACCATATCCCTAAAGTTAACGTTAAACCCATCCCACTAAGCCTAACCTTAAGCCCTGAATTTAGCCGTAAACAAATTAAGTCCTGTCAAACACAACATTTGCATAGGTGTAATGACCTGCTGCACCTGTTTGTGACACACAGGTGTTGAAGCTGGGACTAATAGACCTGACTTGTGTTCAGGACACTCCAAATGGAAAATGTTTTGAATAGGAGTAAAAAACAAAGATGATCTGGAATTCTGCGATATTTCAGAGCAGAACGTGTTTCTGTATGTAATATTTATCCATGTTTTGTGTATGAATATCTTACAGGAATTTGTCTTTTTAGTTTGTATTGAGGAAACACCTTCAAAAGCTTTTTAAATGTATGTGTATATTGTATGATCTGGTGTTGACCGCAAATTTCTCTCTCTCTCTCTCTCTCTCTCTCTCTCTCTCTCTCTCTCTCTCTCTCTCTCTCTCTCTCTCTCTCTCTCTCTCTCTCTCTCTCTCTGTCTCTGTCTCTGTCTCTGTCTCTGTCTCTCTCTCTCTCTCTCTCTCTCTCTCTGTCTCTCTCTCAGCTTCCATCACACATCATAACTTCACCAAGTGAAGAGACTCCAACTCCAGCTACCAACTCTTCCCTTCATGAAGATCCATTGGTTGGCTACGTTTCCCAAATCAAATTAATCAGCATTGCTTCCTTTGCAATCAACTTTATCCTGGGTCTCCCCACCAATATCTACATCCTGTGGCTGATACTGACAAGAGCGGGAGGGACGATGGCTTCAGAGTTCTTCGCTCTCAACCTGACCGTGTTTGAGATCCTTATCTGCCTGTTTTCTATCTTCTATTTCATCTGGCTAAAGCACCCCACAATCGTTGTCTCGTATATCATGGTATTTCCTAGCAGTTTTATAATGACAGGCCGTCCCAAGTTCCAGTGCTGTATCTGTTTGGAGCGCTACCTGGTGGTGGTCCACCCTGTGGTCTTTCTGAAGTACAAACCCCTGAGATACAGGGTGGGGTGTTGTGGTGTTGTCTGGCTGATGGTTCTTGGGTCCTGTCTGTTCTTTATGCTGGTGAATGAAAGATCTGTTGTATTTTATGTTTACTGGGGTGAGTTTCTGATGTTGTTTTTGTTGAAGATATTCTGCTGCCTCTCAGTTCTCAGGGATCGAAAACGTCCCGGGCCGGGGGAAGGGGAGAGGGAGGGGACAAATTACATGAAGATGGAGGCTTGCAGGATCATTTTGATGATCAATCAATCAATCAATCAAATGTATTTTCAAAGTCCTTTTTACATCAGCAGATGTCACAAAGTGCAATACAGAAACCCAGCCTAAAACCCCAAAGAGCAAGCAATGCAGATGAAGAAGCACGGTGGCTAGGAAAAACTCCCTAGAAAGACAGGAACCTAGGAAGAAACCTAGAGAGGAACCAGGGTCTTTTCATATCCAGCATTCAGAGGTTGAAATAACAGGTGCGGTAGAGAGAGAGAGTTGAAAACAGCAGATCTGGGACAAGGTAGCACGTCCGGTGAACAGGTAGCAGCAAGGAGTCATCAGGCCAGGTAGTCCCGAGGCATGGTCCGAGGGCTCAGGTCCACCGGGAGGGGAGGGAGAGAGGGAGAAGAGAGAGAGGGAGAGAGGGAGAGAGGGAGAAGAGAGAGAGAATTCACACAGGACACTGGGTAAGACAGGAGAATAACACTAGATATAACAGACTGACTCTAGCCCCCCCGGCACATAGACTATTGCAGCATAGATACTGGAGGCTGAGACGGGAGGGTCGGAAGACGCTGTGGCCCCGTCCCGACGATACCCCCGGACAGGGCCAAACAGGCAGGATATAACCCCACCCACTTTGCCAAAGCACAGCCCCACACCACCAGAGGGATATCCACAGACCACCAACCTACTACCCTGAGACAAGGCTGAGTATAGCCCACAAAGATCTCCTCC